TCACAAAGAATGCAACACAGGCCTCAGTGCAGCATCTGCCTTAATTGGAGACCACACTAGTGGGCAGACCAAACCAGTGAAAGGGAGGCACTGCTGGGTATTAGAAGATAGGAAGGGGATATCCCCAAGAGTGGGCTGTATCCAGACCAACCTTGATGTAGTCCTCAGAGGAGTACAGGTACTTGTCAATTTGAGTGAGGCCACCATCCACATCCCACAGAAGAATCATGCCAAGGGATGCAGCTGCACTCAACATCCCTATACCAAAAAAGAAGTTATCAGTCTTAAAATGGCCTTACACTAAAGACACTGTCATAAATGACTCTCCAAGGAACTGCACTGTGGATTTCTTGACAGATAATATATGAATCTAGGAGGAGAAAAAGAGTGACACAAAAGACAAAGTAAGAACACAATTATACCATGGTCCTTGTTCTTGTAGAGCCATTTGTTGCCATCATCAGTCAGTAGCTTGTCCTGGCCAAAAGCTGCATTCACAAAGCCGTTTACAAAAGAGGAGGCCAGGTTCATGCGGGCAGAGTCCACCTGAGAGCCACTGCCCCCAAACCCTGCACAGGAGGGAGAGGAACAGTAAAGAAAAGTTTAGAGTAGGAAAAGAGCTGGGTGCAGTGGCTCACACCTGTAATCCCAGAACTTTGGGAGGTGGAGGCAAGGGGACTGCCTAAGCCCAGGGGTTCAAGACCAGCCTGGGCAACTTGGTGAGCCCTTATCTTTATAATAAGTCAAAAAATTAGCCAAGCATGGCGGTGCATGCCTGTAGTTCCAGCTACTTGGAAGGTTGAGGCAGAAGGATCACCTGAGTCCAGCAGACCAATGCTGTAGTGGCCGTGAGTATGCCACTGCACTCAAGCCTGGGCAACAGAGTGAGACGCCTACACAAAAAATAAAATAACTAACAATCCTCCAATCCCCACACATGGAGAAGCCTACTCACTGTTGTTCTCCAGGTGGGTTTTGTAGATGTCATCAGGTATCTTGGGCTCCATGATGTCCAGCTAAAAAGAAGTCAGAAGGTCACAACTCCCCCAGCTGTCACTTGTGCTATCCCACTGAATGGCAATTCTGACCAAGGAGAGTCTAGTCAGAGGTACAGTCCGGGAAGTGAAATGATACATAGAATTACAACCAAAAAGCCTTGAAGAGAAAAGGGCAAAGAGTCTCACCTCTCGAGCTAAGGCCAAGAAGTTGCTGTTGAGCTGCACGTTGGACATGATCTCTGTGAGGTCCTCATACTCCTCTACATCTTCACTCAGCTCCAAGAATACCCCATGCCGGCCTAGCATGAATGCCATCTGTTTCTGTACAACCCTGTGGGACAGAGCCAGCACGTCTGCTCACCATTGTCCACTAAAGACACAGGAAAGCCCCTCAAGCCCTAACCAGAAACTACGAGTCCCCGCTCTTCATGTAAATGCCCCATGCATGAGCTTCTCTCTTCCTTTGCCAACTTCCTCCCTACATACACATCCTTGCAAGAGGTGAAGATGTCCTCTACCAGCTCCATGTCATTGAGCATCAGCGCCAATCTCAGAGCTTCAGGGAAGCGGCTAAACTTTCGGAACACACCCAAGGCACACCGCAGTAGGGCAGAGTTCTCAGGTTCGGGCACATAATTCACACAACTACAAAGATAGAAGTAATAAAGAATTCAGAAAGTCCCAGACATTCATTTGTACCACTGAATTCACGTACCCAAAACAAATGACAAATATACCAAGCACTATGCCAGATGTTAGTACTAACAAGACACAAAGTCTGTCTACAAGAAACTCATTTACATCAACAAATTAACTACAGCCTGACGCTACCCTTGAGCAAATGCTCTGAGAGAACAGAGAAGGCACAATTGAGAGAGAGGTGCTGGGGAGGGCAGACCTGCTACCCATCCCTATCAAGCTCACTGACCTGGTGAGATAGAGGCAGACCTTTGCATATGCATTCTCATCGATGTCCTTCTCCAACATATCCACCTGCTCGATTTCCATGAGCAGGTCGCAAGCCTCGTGCTCCGCGTTATGGGCCATGTTATAGGGGACAATCTCCTTCACCAGGGTAAGCAACGGCTCCCGCTGTACCTTCTCTGTGTCATCCAGCTCCTGCCACTCCTTAGCCACTTCTCCTGCCAGATGCCTATAGATAGGACCAGACCATTAAGGAAGCACAGCTTCAGGGAAAGCACTTCCCTGTGGACCAAGGAATTCAATGTCTGGGAAATTCAATATTCTGGTACTCCAAAACAGACAGAACTCTAAGAGACAGAATTAGAATTACGCCTCAGAGGTCCCCTTCAGACTTTCAAGAAGAAAAGGTCTTACCTGACATATTCATGACCCCATGATGCCAATTCCTCCTGGGAGCCTACTAGCCGATACTTGAGGCACTCGCGCTCCCCACTCATGGTCATGGCCAAAACAGAGATGATGTCAGCTGCAAAACGCTGTAAGAAGACAGTTCTCCGAAGTAAAATCCAACAGTTCTAGGCAAGGGGAGTGTGACACAGAATCAAGATCATTGTCACTGTCCCCAAAACTATTAACTATATACCAGTCTCTGTACTAGAAAGGTACACATTAACTAAGCTAAGCCTCACAAAAACCAAGGTTGGTGTTGCTATCTCGCTTTTAAAACAACACAGCTGAAAGGTGATGAACAAGAGGAAAAGCAGAGAAAGGTAGAGACTCTGAATTTTACTTTAATTGCAATCATAAACTACTAAAAAATTTTGTCTTTCTATGTTTTGCTTTTTTTTTTGAGTCGGAGTCTCACTCCATTGCCCAGGCTGGAGTGCAGTGGCATGTTCGTGGCCACTGCAGCCTTGACCTGGTGGGCTCCAGCGATCCTTCAGCCTCAGCCTTCCAAGTAGCTGAAACTACAGGCATGCGCTACCATGCCCGGCTAATTTTTGATTTATTGTAGAGACGAGGTCTTATCAAATTGTCCAGGTTGGTCTTGAACCGTGGGCTCAGGCAATCTACTCCCCTCGGCCTCCCAAAATGCTGGGATTACAGGATTGAGCCACCACACCTGGCCAAACTACTAAAAGACTTTAAGCAGAAAAGACCCATAATCTAGAAAGATCACTATAGCTGCTACGTGAAAGACAGACTGTGTAGGAGATGAAGGACAAAAGCAAGAACACCAGTTAGGAGGCTACTGCAACAGTCCAGGTGAGAGCTAAGGATTTCCTGGATCAGGCTGTACCAACAGACAGAGAAGTGATTGAATGTGGGGTGTATTTCAGAAATTAAAAAAATATGTATACATAAAACAACATACATGGGATAGAAAGAAAAAGAAAAATTGAGGTTAAACGTAAGTTAATAATGGACCGTGCTAATGAAATCCCCAGGTCCAACACAAATGACAGAAACAACATCTCCTGAGAAGTTGATCCTCTTTTCAGTTTTCTGTGAGTAGTTTGACTGTGATAAATTCTGCTCAACTAGACCAGGGCTTAGGTCTATCAGGCTTCCAGGGACCCACCATGAGCCCCATGGTCTAGGTAAAAAAGTATTCCTAAACTAGGCTTACATGAACTTCTAAAATAGTTTTTACCTTATTCTCCCCAGGGGCCATGTTCTCGTAGATTTCCTTCAGTTTGCCATAGTGTGGACGTAGAAATTTGAGAGGCTTGGGCACCGAAGTCATGGAAGTTGTAGAAGAACGAATCTGCCTCCGCAGTTCCTCAAGGGCTGGTCGGTACAGGGATGTGTCCTTCTCCTGGTCAGGAGATGTTAGGGCTCAGACAAAAAGGAGGTGCATCCCTCCAAGTCATAATAGAGGTATTTAACTAGCGACTAACTCAGGAAAAGAGCCGTGTCTCATTCATCTGTGATTCCTCAACTCCCTGCACACTGCCTAGCACAAAAACAAATGACTCCAGTTAAAAGTTAAGAACTCTGCTTCTCCCACAAGAGAAAGCTACAAAGCTGCACAAATATCCTTTTTAACTTTCCTGCCTCTCATCATCACCATAACACTGACCCTAAAATATGGTCTAATCACATGTACTGTTGCCTCAAAACAGGGTAAAGCAAACAAGTGGAAAAGATCCAAACACACAGTCAATCATGTTAACATCATGACTCACCCCCAGTCGTTCCACGAGCATCTCCAGTTCATCTTGAAGCTGTTTGTCCTCCTCAGACTGGAGAGTTGGGGGGGGGAGCTCATGAAGAGAAGCAATCCTAAACACATCCTCCTCCCACTCACCCTGGGGCAGGTGGAGAATAAGCCTACTTCCAACGGAGCGACAAGATGTACAAGGAAAGAGAGCAGGAATGGCAAGCCCTGGTGGGAAGGCAGCTAGGTTTTGAGCTTGCTTGAATGCCATTCTAGGAAATGGGGGAAATAACGAGCCGAGACCACCTCACGAAGCCGTGGTGAGGATTGGTGGGGACCGCGGAATTGACAGCGCAGAATGGAGAATGAGGGGCAGAGAGACAGGGTTCTGGGAATGCCGATGGTCGCCCCTTTTCCCGCCCCTGTGTCCGGGGCACAGTGGGGCCGTTGGGAGTCGGGCCTGAGGCCTGGGAAGCCGCCGTGACTCAGCCCCGCGGCCTCCTCCGCCGTCTCTTGGGGCCGCGCCTCACCAGTTCCTGCTCTTTGTCCTTGTCGCCGGCATCCCGCCGCTCCTTGCTGCCCGGCTTCTCGTCGGCGCCGCCTGGGGCCGTCGCTGGGGGCTGCTGGGGCTGCAGCGTTGCCTTATCCCGGCCGCCCTCCTCCATCTCCGCCGCCACTGCCGGCCCGCTGCGCGCGCATCCGCTGGCACCGCCCCTTTTCCCAGATGGCCTCGCGCGCGTTGTCGGCGGCGCCCCTCCACCTCCAGATCCCGCCCGCGACCGGAAACGCCGGGACGAGCCTGGGAGCGAGGCTACCCACTCACCCCCGCGGCCTGAGAACCCAGCCCTCGGACCCCGCCCTCGTAGGCTGGAAAAAACTACAATTCCCAGCCTCCCGCGCGCCATTGGCTCAGCCCGCGCGGGAGCTTAGACCTCGTCCGAGTTTCCTGAAGCCCAGTGGACTGTCTGCATTCAGCGTAGTGTTTAAGCGCGATCGCTGCTGTAGAAGAGGAGAGGGCTGCGACCCAATTTGCGGAGCTTCCCTTGCCGGTAGGTTTTCCTCATAACAGCGTAACTAGGACCCAAAGTGACACCGCAGTTGGCTGCGTGGTGCGACAAGCTAGATTCTTGAAATCTGGGACGCTTGAATGTCGTCTTACCAAGTCTGTGTCGTCTAGCTTAGGTCTAGCTCCTCACCACGCTGGAAATATGAACCTTATAACACTTCCCCCGGTTGAAGGAGAGTGCTCTGATGTCACCGTGAGGGCGTGGCTACCACCTTAAATCCTTTTGGGAGCCAAGTGGAGTAGAAATCAATAAATAAAGGCGGTGGCTCACGCCTGTAATCCCAGCACTTTAGGAGTCCGAAGCGGGAGGATCGCTTGAGGTCAAGAATTCGAGACTGCAGTGAGCTGTGATCGCGCCACTGCACTCCAGCCTGGGCGACAGAGTAAGACCCTGTCTCTAAAAACAAAAAAATTAGAATTAAAATTAAGTCCTATGCTCCGGGCCAAGTTCTGGAGCTAAAAGCAAAACAAGACAAGGTCTTTGCCCTCATTCTGTCTTCTGGTCTTCTTTCCCTATTAATGACTTAGAAGGAGTGTGACTGACACTCTATATCAAGACTACTTTTATTTTTTTGAGTCGGGGTCTCTCTCTGTCACCCAGACTGAAGTGCAGTCTGGGAGTGCAGTGGCACAGTCTCTCTCATGCAGCCTTGACCTCCCGGGCCAGGTGATCCTTCCACCTCTGCCTCCTAAAGTGCTGGGATTACAGGCATGAGCCCCAAGACCACTTTTAATTTATCGCTACAGTTCTCACAACCTTTTGAGACTGGTAGGGTTGTGTCCATTTTATAGAAGAGTTCAGATAAAGTAGTAGAATCAGAATTTTTTTTTTTTTTTGAGTTAGAGTCTAACTCTGTCGCCCAGACTGGAGTGCAGTGGCCACTCCCGGCCACCACAGCCTCGACCTGCAGGACTCTGGCGATCCTTCCGCCTCAGCCTTCCAAGTAGCTGGAACTACAGGCACGCGCTACTACGCCCGGCTGATTTTTTATTTATTGTAGAGATGAGATCTCACCAAGTTGCCCAGGTGGGTCTTGAACCTGCGGGCTCAGGCAATCCACTCACCTCAGCCTCCCAAGCCGCGGGATTACAGGCTGAGCCACTGAGCCCAGCTTAGAATCAGAATTTGAAGCTCAGTTCTTCGGTCTTCCAAGCCCTTAACAGTTTTAGGCAAGCCCCAAAGTTTCTGCTCGGGCTATATGTATGTCTAGAAGGTGAGAAAAAAAAATGTAGTAACTCCTCCTCTGTGACCTATTGGAAACATTCACCATTTGGCCTAGAGTATTATTTTATGAGTTCTGACACATCAAAGAATGCAGAAAGTGGCCAAGCATGGTGGCTCACACCTATAATCTCAGCATTTTGGGAGGCCAACGCAGGAAAATTGCTTGAGCCCATGAGTAGAGGCTACGGTGAGCCATGATCATGCCACTGCAGTTCAGCCTAGGCAACAGAGTGAGACCTTGACTCAGACAAACAGACAAACAAAACTAGTGCAACATAGCACTGAATGAATGTTGGCTAAATGTTTGTACAGATGTAAAGGTCCAAATCCATTTTAAAAACCTGCATCAGGGCAACCCTCTCGGGTCCCCCCCCCCCCTGTGGGCGCCTTTCTGTCCTCTCAATAAATCCTGCTTTCAAAAACAAAGCAAAAATAAAAAACCCCTGCATTCTAGGGATGACCTTCCATTTCCATTGCCAATGACTCCCCCAGCCAGCCCTGGGCTGCAAACATGAACTGGACAGTCCATAGCTGTTCTGCCTATTTTATCTCTGCCTTCAGGATGTTCATACATTTTCATGTTTTCTTCAGTCCTCTGTAGAGGAGTTTTTCCTAAGTTCCTTATTTTTCCATGACTTTCTTCTATCAGATTGCAGCTTTTGTGCTATATAGCAGTCATAGCCCAACCAGTATCTTAGAGGAGAGGAGGTGACATGGCATACAGCACAGGCGACTCCAGATGAAGAGTAAATGGGTAGGTGTATTGCGTTATGTTTCAACATTTTTGTAGGCTCAAAATGTCTCAAAATAAGAAGTTGAAGGTAGAACACAAGCTTTAGAGGCAGATCTGGTATTTAAAACAAAATTTTGCTGTTCACCAGCTGTGAGGCTTGGGCAAGCTGCCTCACCTCTCTCAGCCTGGTTTCTGCCACTGTAAAATGTGAGTTATAAAGTATCTGTCTTGCAAGGTGTTATGAAAATGAAATGAGACAATGTGTATAAAGTGCCTAGCCAGATACCTGGCAACTAGCAAGGAGGCCGTTGTCATTTTATTTTCCAATGACCTCAAATCTTCATGACTGAGTTAAATATTCTTGCCTTTTACCCCCACCTCCAAGCACTCAAGCTTCCGAACCTCTCTAGCCAAATGCAGATGTTTGGCAGTTATTTTCTAGGCCCCTTGATAACACTGATGTTCTGCCTCAAATTTCAGCTCAGCCAGACTGTCTTACTGGGAGCATTCCTTCCTACCATTTAGCCAAACTCCCAGCCATGTGTCCAATCTGTCCAATTGGGGATAACCTGTTACCTGCCCCTTACTCCTTCCTTTATATGGCATCCACAAACCTGCTGTGCAGCCCCCCAAACATGGCCCGGGCTGCAGAGCTATATTATCTTATGGATGGCTCACTTGTCAGAGAATCATTCAACCCATAGCCATCGCTTACATTACTTACAGAAGTGCTCCTGACAGCATGCAGTGTTCCACTGTTTCCACTGGGCTGCTGCTTTGAGTGATATTCTTCAGTCAGACTGCACTGTGGTCCTTATTGTCAATTTCCAGGACTGACAGCAGATGCTACCATTCTCTCTTTTCATACCTACTATTACTCACTCCTATGACCATTCTCCAGACCCTTATCCCTTATTATGTTCCTTTCACGTACCCTCTTTTGAACATCCTAAACACTTTACCATTTCTGAACATGCCTTGCCCTTTAAGTTAATTGGCCTTCTCACATTGCTATTCTTTTTCTTTTACAAGTTTCTTTTTCTTTTTGAGTCAGAGTCTCACTTTGTCACTTGGGCTGGAGTGCAGTGGCATGCCCACGTTCACCACAGCTTCAACCTCCTGGGCTCAGATGATACTTCTGCCTCAGCCTTTCAAGTAGCTGGAACTGCAGGCATGTACCACCACACCCAGCTAATTTTTTGATTTATTGTAGAGATGAGGTCTCGTCAATTTGCCCAGGCTGGTCTCGAACCCCTGGACTCAGGCAATCCTCTTGCCTCCACCTCTCAAAGTGCTGGGATTACAGTTTGAGCCACCACTCCTGGCTGCTACTCTTTCTTTATGGAACACCCTTCACTGTTTTCAGCTAGTCAGTTTTCCCATCCTCTGAGCTTCAACTAACGTCACTTATCCAGGAAGCTTTTCTTATCCTGTATTTAGGTTATTAATTTCTTCCCTGCATTCCTGCCATGTTTGGCACATACCTCTCCCTCCCTAGACCCTGAGATCCTGGAGAATAAGAACTGTGTCTTATTCATCTTTGTTCCCCTAGCATCCAGCCTAATGCCTGGCTTGTGGTGGGACTTGGCAAATATTTGCTCAGTAAATTAATGACTTTGCATTCAGCTCATCTTATTTTTTTTTTTTTTTTTTTGAGTTGGAGTCTCACTCTGTCGCTCAGACTGGAGTGCAGTGGCCACTCCCGGCCACCGCAGCCTCAAACTGCTGGGCTCCAGCGATCCTTCCGCCTCAGCCTTCCGAGTAGCCAGAATTACAGGCATGCGCTACCATGCCCAGCTGATTTTTTGATTTACTGTAGAGATGAGGTCTCACTGCCCAGGTGGGTCTCGAACCCGTGGGCTCAGGCAATTCACTCACCTCAGCCTCCCAAAGGTACGGGATTACAGGCTAAGCCACCAAGCCCAGCTTCAGCTCATCTTTGAATATAGTAATGACCCATTGGAGGCTCTCTCTGGAGGCCAGGATACTGAAAAATCATCAGGATCCTCCATCCTCTGTTTGATTTGTGAATCATGATGGGCCCACTGAAGCTGTTAAAAGTAGGACCTTCAGTGTTCTGTAGAAAACCATGTTTATTTTTATGGGAGACTCTCTTTCAGCCTGACATTTCCAGACTGCTACCAAGTGTGAAGTCATACTTCTTGGCTTATGTTACCTTACTGTGGATGGGAATTAGTCAGACTTTCCAGGGGGACTGCACAGGGGATGACATTGCTCTCTTGTGTCCACCCAGGTCATTATCCTTTATTTCCCCTTCTGCCTCAACACACCAGAGTATATCACAGATGCATATTCATCAGCCTAACAGGGCTACTAAGGGTAAAGTTCACATCTGTTACCCGATGTTCACCTTGCTTTGCCTCTGGAACCAAGCACCAGCAGAGTGCTCAACAAACACGTGCTGCCTGGCTTAATTTCAGCTCAACGTGTGCTTGTGTTTCTTGCCACTGCCTGGTTGTCACATATGCCTGGCCCAGGGAAACTGGGTTGCATGGAAATGCACCTGCTGGTGATGGTCCCACTCAGAAACACGATGAAGTTGTCCAAAAGGCAGATGTCTATGTTTAAGTCTAAATTCTGTCATGGCTTAGAAGACTAACGGATGGTGATTAAGAGCGTTTCATTCCAAATCTAACTTTAATGCAATCTGTCTTGTCTGACATTGGAAGTTATGTGATTTTTTTCCCTTGGTTTCCTTAGATATTTTTCCTTGTAAAACACAGACAATGATAGGACCTCTTTATAAATTACTGTGGGCATTCAATGAGATGGTATTTTTTTTTTAGATTGGAAAATACAGTTTATTTAGAAAGTAAATGAGAGAGAGAGAAGATTGAGATGATATTTTTAAAGTGTTTGGCACAAGCTATAATAAAATAGGAACTCAGTCAATGAAAGCTGGTCTTTATTCTCATCGTCATTTTTATTACTATTTTACCTTTTTGCAATATGAACTTTTTTTTTTTGAAAGCAGGATTTATTAAGAGGACAGAAAAGCTCCCATAGTGGGAGGGGACCCAAGGGGGTTGCAGTATGAACTTTTAATGCCACACTGGCCAGGTGGTCTGGATCCTAAGCTGGCCTCTGGAATTAGGTGTCAGGGGAAGGGCAAGACTTTACCTTGCTAAACCTCTCTCTTCAGTCATTATGCTCGCTTTTATTATACACCTCATCCACTGTGCAAAACCCAACCTTCTCATTTATTAATATATCTCGGGGCTCTGGACACTATAAATCTCATCCACTGTGTGACACTCAAACTTTTCAAATCATTTAGTAATATCTCTTTGGGATCTGGAATTTGCTAAGTCCGTGAATTCACTTCTTTTTCTTTTTCTTTTTCTTTTTTTTTTTTTTTTTTTTTTTTGAGTTGGAGTCTCACTCTGTCGCCCAGGCTGGGTTGGGTGCAGTAGCAAGCTCATGTCCACCACAGCCTTGACTTGCTAGACTCAGGCAATCCTTCCACCTCAGCCTTCCAAATAGCTGGAACTACAGGTATGCACTACCATGCTGGCTTATTTTTTGATTTATTGTAGATATGAGGTCTTACCAAGTTGTCCAGGCTGGCCTCGAACCCCTGAGCTCAAGCAATCCTCTTGCCTCCTCCTCCCAAAGTGCTGGGATTACAGGCTTGAGCCACCATGCATGGCCTGAATTCACTTCTTTTTTCTTTTTCTTTTTTTTTGAGTCAGAGTCTCATTCTGCCGCCCAGGCTGGAAAGCAGTGGCACACTCATGGCCACCCCAGCGTTGACCTGCTGGGCTCCAGCAATCCTTCTGCCTCAGCCTTCCAAGTAGCCAGAACTACAGGTGCACGCTACCACACACCTGCCTAATTTTTTATTTATTGTAGAGACAGGTCTTGCCAAGTTACCTGGGCTGGTCTTGAACCAGCGGGTTCAGGCAATCCACTCACCTCAGCCTCCCAAAGTGCTGGAATTACAGGTTGAGCCACCAAGCCCGGCCCTGAATTCACTTCTTAAAGCATTAAAGCCGGAATGGTCCTCAGAAATTATCTTATCCAACCCACTTATTTTACAGACAGCTAAGGATACTGAGACCTGGAAGAGGAGATGAGCCATGCCTTGTGTCACACAGCTAGGGGTGGCAGAGCTGGAGCCAGACCAGGTCTCCAGATGTGATGGCCCTCCTCTTCCCAATACAATTGGCCACCAGCCCTGGAGTGGTCCACTCAGAGGCTCAAGCCATACCTTCCCTCAGCTGTGGAGTTCCAGGGAACACTTGCTCCCTGCTGAGTAGTCAGCTATTTCCTTCCTCATGTGAGCAGCCAGCACTTTGAGAAAGCATGACAGGGATCAACGTACAGCTCAGTATAGGGACAGTCTGGTACCCTGAAGAGCTGGGCAGGATATAGACTACAGGACACATGTTAGTGCCATCACCAAAGAGCCAGGGACTCCAGCGGCAATTATTGCCAAAGCTTCACTCTTACCCCTCCAAGCTTAACAAACCCACCCATATTTGTACCTTGGGGAGCACTGAGTTTTAAAGAGAATTGAGACTGGGCTCTTTCCACTGTTTTGCTGTAGTTCTTATTTAATAGATGAGGAAACTGAGGCTTGTGGGCTTAGGGAACAGGCTCAAGCTCATCCAACTATCAGAGCTTCAGTTTCAATCTGGGTCTCTTGGACTGCAGTGAAGCGGTTAGGGTTAGATCCATAAAATGGAGACTAGAGTGCTTATAATGTGTGGGTGCTGTGAGGATTGGGTGAGCTTATGAAGGCAAAAATGCTAATAGAAGAAGGGTTGCCGAGGGAGGAAGAAACCATCTTATTCGTCTTCCTTTCTCTTTTTTTTTTTGTGTTGGAGTCTCACTCTGTCACCCCAGACTGGAGTACAGTGGCTGCTCCCGGCCACCACAGCCTCGACCTGCTGGGCTCCGG